GATATCTGCCTTGAGCCCTTAATGAAGTTCCCTTCGAATGCAGTCTCTTATAATCGCTCCATCCGACTGACTTAGGTGCTCGAACCACTCACGTTAGTCTACCACTGATCCGTCCTGAACCAGTGAAAAAAACTGCTCATAGAATATCTCTCCCCTATCGGTTTGAAAACGTTCTAATAAACAGTTCTTGAATGCTCTCCAGCTTCATATAGGTCTCCTTTGGTCCCTCCATTGGAACCAGGACAACGCCTTCCCCTTTAAACATAAGCATGTTGCTGTCAGTTTCTCCTCATCCGTCAACCCATTGATGGCAAAGTACCTCTCCACCTTGTAGATTCATCCGTAAGCGTCCTCCCCTTTAAAAATTGGCATCTTCAGCTTCCTCACCTTTTGATCTCCCCCTCCCCTGTTTCCCCTTATTCCTCCATAGTTTTCCCCTTCCCAAGTGCTTGGCCCTCCCCAAGTCTTCCGATCTTCCCTTTCCCTTTCATTCCCATACCCTCCTTTGAATCTTCCTCTCCCTTCAAAATCAACAACTCGGCGAGCATAATTTCCTTATGCTCCCAATCAGTACCCCTTTGCTCCTGCCCTCCATACCCACGCATTTCCCCAAACCTACAACCTCTAATCCTCCCTCTAGAAAGGATCCAGATGGGGTCTTCTCCCTTCTCCCTCTACGATTTCCACCTCGTCTTCATTCTTACGAATTTCAGAATTCGTATTCTTTCCTTCCAATCCTTTCACCCATGAAACTACTGATTGGTTATGGATTTCCAACATCTTCTAATCAGCTACTTGCCCTTCCATCGAGGAAATTTTGTCCTCCACCGTCGTCTTTATCTAATTCATCTCCCTTCCAAACATTCCTCCAGCGCGTCTACCTTCTTGGCCACCATAAAAGAATTCTGGTTTCGTTTCAAAAATCAGCAAACGTTCCTTCCTTCGGATGAAAATTTGCCGCTGATATTTCAGGAAATCATCCCCCAATGGTCCCAAGACTTGCTCTGATACCAATTTTATAGGAAGCACTTGAGTTCGCAAGTAATTCCTATCAATCTTTAAAAAAATAGCGAAAATCCTCCACAAGAATTCACACAAAACCAAGAAAACAGTAGAAAATTTGTATTATTTGATGAAATAGAAACAAGAAATAGCAAGATACAGTTGATCCTCAATTCGAGAGGAGGATCGATCTCTCCCAAATCTCTAGATGCCTCTAGAGCCCAAAAGAAAACCCAGTTCTAAGAGGTCTTAAATTTCAGCCAAATTCAAGATCCCCTAACCCTAAGAAAACAAACTATTTAATGCATACAAATCAAAAGGAAATCCCTAAACAGTCCCTATATTCAAATTTTCCTCCCAATTCCCTCACAAATCTTTCCAAAAAAGTTCTCTTAGATTTGGCGGTCCAATCGGCCTACGTGATAGGCGAAGAGTTCCGCCTGTTCTCCGCCTGAGCCAGTCCCATGTGGACTTGCTAAACCAGTCTAACAGAGGTATGCAAGAGAAACAAGTGCATTGCTATGGCTCCAAGAGGGTTACTTCAACCCCTGACTCTCCCAGATAAAATATGGGAGGAGACCATGATGGATTTCTTAGACGGACTACCCGATATGAGGGGTTTATAGTGATTCTAATGATGGTTGACAGGTTAAGAAAAAATGCTCATTTAATTCCCTTACAACACCCTTACATGACAATGATAGTTGCGACAACATTCATCAGAGAGGTGGTCATATTGCATGGGGTTCCAAAGTCGATAGTTTCTGATTGGGATAAGGTATTTCTCATACATTTCTTGAGAGAGTTGTTCAGGCTGTAGAGAATAGCTCTAAAAAGGGACGTCGCTTACCATTCTCAGACAGACAGACAGAGGTAGTAAATAGGAGCCTAGAGACTTACCTGTGGTATTTTGCTTCAGAGACACCTTGCCTGTGGGCCAAGTGGCTATCATGGGTAAAGTACTTGCATAACACTTCATATCATTCAGCTTTTCAGATGACTCTTTTTAAAGTGTTGTATGGAAGAGACCCTCCACACTTGGTACATTTTGGACAAAGGAGCACACCAATCTCTTCAGTAGAGCAGTACTTGGAGGAATGAGATTGGATATTGGAAGAATTGAAAAGGCACCTGTTGAGTGCACAACAAATTATGAAGAAATAGTCGGATGGACACATGATGGATATCCCATTAGAAGTAGGGGATAGGATGTTCTTAAAGCTGCGGCCTAATAGATAGAAGACAGTCACCAACAGGAGGAATGAGAAGCTGGCCCCCAGGCACTTTGCCCCTTATGAGGTATTGGAGAAGATTGGAGCATTGACGTATCACTTGAGATTACCCTCTACCATTGCTATACATCCAGTGTTCCACATGTCAAAACTAAATAGAGCTATTGGGGATCATGCAATTAGCTCAAAGTTACCTGCGACACTAAAAGAGGATTTAAAGGTGATTTTAAAACCTCTGGAGTTGAGAGGGGTCCGATAGGGGGAAGAAGGGACTAAGGAGGTTCTGATAAAATGGAAGAACTTACTGGACTATGATGCTACCTGGGAGCCATACGAGAGGGTGAAGCATCGTTACTACACGCCAGCTGACACAAGGACCGGTCCAGCCTGACCAAAACTAGGGCCGGCCCTTGTTTTATTCTAGGAGGACCACACAGTCGGCCAGAGATTGGGAGAGCCAGATCTTCCTCTCGAATTGAAGATCTATTGTATCTTGTTTGTTTTCTTCCATCTTTCATCAATTATCAAATTTCTCTAGTGTTTTGTCACCAAATTTCTCTCAATTTCTGCTTTTATCTTGCTGAAATTCCTAATTTCAGCCGATTGCTGCAAGTATTTCCTAATAGATTTGCCCTAGTTCTTGGAGCAACTTTGTTTAGAGATGATACAACGCAAATTAAAGCATCTGGCAAAGCTTTAATCACGCTTGTTGTAGTCCTATCATACAATATACTGAAGACAATATTCTTTATCTATATCGTTCATAGTATGAAGCCTGTTTGTTCAAGAGATCGCAATTTCTTGACTCATGGTTGTGGGCTTCATCCAAGTAGAGATTAATTTAGCTTTTTGGTATAGAAAATCCTCGATTTTGCATTTTCTTGTGCCCAAAATCCTTACCATTGAATTTGTAGATTTTCACCCTTTTCCTTGGATGACATTGTGCCCACTTTTGCTACAAAGACCTCAAGTCCAACGTTGATTCCACATGCTGGAGAGTAGTGCACGACTGCATGCATGAGAGCAATAACGGACATCATGATAGGAATTAAATACACCAAGTAGAACGCAACAAAAGAAGAATCAAGAACTATTTTAAGTGGCAAAATTGTCCTACATCTGCGGGCATACAATTAGATGGTTATTCCACTAGCTCATATATAGGATACAAATTTTCTCCTCACTTTTTTCTTCAATACATTTCCCTTTTTCTTTATCCCATCTTTTTCCCCTCTCTCTCTCTCTCTCTCTCTCTCTCTCTCCCCCCCCCCCCCCCCCCCCCCCCCCCCCCCCCGCTTGATAGAAATTTTTATCATTTTAGAAAGTTCAATTTTTTCCTTTCACATTTTTCACTCTCTATCACATATTTTGAATGCAAAAGATTTAAAGTAGCTAAAAGTTCGTAAAATGTTTTGTTTATAATTTATTTCCTTTTTGTTTTTGTTTTGTGAAACAAAATACCCAACTGATTTCCCTTTTTACTGTCCTAAGAAACCAACATTAGCCCTTTAAGAAAAATAATATTGAGGTTTTCCTTCTATTACCTTCTCCTAGCCGTAGTCATTCCTGTTACGGCTCCTTTGATTTGACAAGCCTTCTGTCTTTGTTGCTCCATGTTGGTTGCGTCTTTCCTCACCAGCTGGCCACTCTCACTAGCTACGGGTTATTGCTACTCCAGCCACGTGCAAGAGCCCACAACACATCCTTGAAACAAGAAGCTGTAAGCCACCCCACCCTTTTCATCTACCAATGGCCCTAATATCCTCGTTAGTCAACAGAGAGTTGTTGATATTCTCGTCACAACTCTGAGTTTGTAGCTTTGAATTTGTTATCGACATCCAAACACAGTGAACCACCTGGGTTTCTTTGAGCTTCTTCTGCAAACCGTCAATAGCCACAACCATCGACCATACTCCAATCAACATTCTTTGGCCAAAGAAGACCTGACGTTCTCTGGACAAAGACTTACCACCGATTGTGTATGGAGCAATTCTAGAGAAAAATACACTGCAATCCGAGGAAATTATTAGGTCCGGACACCAGACCTATTTTTAGGTCCGGATATCCACTTAAAATTTGCCACGTGTGCTGCACTTTGCTTGCGCTTTGACTGCACTTTACCTGCGTTTTACTTGCGCTTTTGACGCGTTTGACTTAAAATTCCGTGGATACGTATACATTCTACACGTCAATATTTTATTGGACACCGGACGTAGATATACGTCCGGTGTTCAGACCTAATAATTTTCCCTGCATCCGAGCAGCTTAAGTTTTATGGATATGAGAAAATTGATTGAACTTGTAATGAATTTGGTTGGAATTTAGGTAAGAAATTTGATTTGATTTAACAGATACATTTAAAATCTGAACAAATTTGATTCAGATTTGTAGTGAGGATTTGGTACTGGAACCCCGCTACTGCTTTTTAGAAAACTAAAGATGGGCATGCCAATTGATGAATCTAGCAGTATTTAAACTATCTCAATATTTGCAAGAGCCATGAACAATTGAGATATTCTTTTAGAAGTACCCTCCATAGATATAAAGTAAGTGCTTTGTGTTTAATCCGTTATATACAAGATGGCAGCAGTTAAAGAATCTGTTTCTGTTTTTCCCTGAACATTTCCTTTCCTTTTTTTTGGGATTTTTACATACCTAACACCTAAAACATCTCTATTTACTTATCTCACACCTAAATTTTAGTTTTTACTATTTTACCACCGTAAATACCTGCTGTTCATCAAATATAACACTCCGTCTGCTCAGTCAAAACCAATTCGCGAAAACAAAGTTTTGCGTTGGAAATAGCTCTCGGAGCAGCTCTCTCGCATTGAATAGAACCTCCATTTTGAGAGACGGAGTTGATGCCCTTCTCTCCTTCGCGAAAACAAGGTTTTCGCGCATGAGAAACATTTCTGATCAGCTATCTCCCCTTCTCTCCTTCCCATCAGAGTGAGGCTCATCTTGCCACGCTGGTGCTATGAAGGGCCAAAGAAGGTAATTTCTTTATTGAGAAGAAGAAGATTTTTATTTGTGGAAGAAGTGATAATGACTTATCACCAAAATGTTCTCAGTAATATTTGTCATCAGCTATGAATTTTTTTGTGTGAATGAAATCATTTTTCAATCAAAATTTTTTACCATGAAAAATCAATAATCCACTTATGAATCTCCATCCATATCCCCTTTAAGCAATGAATCCATGTTTAAGCTGATAGGTGATTCTATAGATTTCCTTCTTGATATGTATTTTTGTCTTTAAAATCCTAAACGTAAAAATTTACTCATCTATCCTGAACATTCACAAGAAACTCCCGAATAGGCAGCAAACGCAAACACAAGAATATGGAAGAGGAAAAGAGAAGAATGGGGAGAGTTCACCTTGCTAAGTAAGGAGAGAGAACGGTTAGGGAAAGTCGGCGGTGTCGGCTAGGGTTGGCGATCGGCGAGAGAGAGAAGGAAATGAGATAAGGCCCTTGGAGTTTCTTGCGAAGAAATAGCAAGTCGGAGGGTTTGTGCTATCGGGAGGGTTTTGACGCAGTGGAAGACGGAATGGTGATGAAGTGGTATTTTAGAAAGCAAAATAAATTTTAGGTGGTATGAGTGTAAATAGGCAAGTTTAGGTGTTGGATGAGTAAATAAGAAACCTTTAAGTGTTAGGTATGTAAAAATCCTTTTTTTTTTTTGCAGTCTTTCTTTTCATGTTGAATATGACTAGCTTGTTGTTTTCCTTGTTATAATGTTTATTTTTGAAAAAACTCTTCTTTGCAAGATAGGTAATCCTCATGATAATACTTGGTTTTGAAAAAACAAACTGATCTTTTGGCGGGCCACTCCCAATCAGGCTATAGTGGATTTCTTGTATGATAAATCATTGAAATCTCTACCAACTCGTACTTCATGCAAGCAAGCATGTCGTTGTAGATGATTATGTATATCAGCGTCTCAATTTGACTTTTGGACAAGAGTCCGGATCAATGAAAACATGGATGATGATTGATGGATAAATTGCTGCAAAATTACTGAACTATTTTTAAATAACTATTTCTATGTCCATAATTGAAGAAAACTGTCTTATAATTAATGCAATCTTTTTTTTTTTTAAACACTTAATTCTTTTGATCCTTTATTATCCTTCTCTTTTTTTTTTCCTTGTATGCATTCTTGTATAGAAATTTAAAGGCATTTTTGTATAGTTTTTCTCAGACTTTTCTTTTCCTATTACTCTGAAGGAAACAACCCTTTATGTTACACTTGAACCGTGTCCTATGTGTGCTGGTGCAATTCTTCAAGCGAGAATTGATACAGTGGTGTGGGGAGCTCCCAATCGATTGTTAGGAGCTGATGGCAGTTGGGTCAGGTCCGTGCATCTTAAACTAGAGTCTTTTTCATGCACCAAAGCATACGTGTACCATATAGAATGTTTGTTATATGAAGTTTAGGAATGAAGCAGGCCACTTCAGCTAACAACTAACTTTTTTTGTGTGTGAATATTGACCTTGTATAGAATATCTATGTAGTCTTTGTGAGTCCATTATCTTGATTATTTCCTTTTTGGCTGCCTATACAGGCTATTTCCTGGGGTTGATGGAGGAAGCCATAGCATGAATCCTCCAAGCCAGATGGTTGGACCTGTTCATCCTTTCCACCCAAAGATTATAATAAGACGAGGGGTCCTAGAAAGTGAGTGTGGGGATGTTATGCAGCAGTTTTTCAAGCTCAGGAGGAAAAAAGATAAGAGGCCCGAATCTTCACCACCACCGTCATACTTTCCATTATCAAATCGCCCAACGAAGTTCTTTTCCAAGCTGCATAACATCTTCTGCATCATGTTTTGCTTGTAGCATTTGCAATTTTTTTTTTATCTCATCTGTAAATTAAAATCACACTATTATGAATAATTATAAGTAGTCTAGTTAATTTATTATCATATTTATTTTGCAAAGCAGTACTTACATTACTTGCTGATGTAGTTTATTTAGTTCTTCATATTTTGAGTTAACAGTACTAACTTCTTTTTAATGATGCGTAATTTTAGCAAACCAGTTCTGGATCTTGAAGAATTGAAGCTGAAAAAAGTATGTGAGAATAACGTTTCTGTGAATGCTCTTGCAAATGATGCTGTCACAAGTAATCTTGATGCTGAGACTAATCACGATTCTGGAGTTGCTAAAATATATGATGGAGATAAGGTTATGATTCAAAGTGAATTAAAAATGAAAGAAGAATCTGACAGAAATTCTGAAGCTGTGGTAGTACGTTCTAATGCTGTTAAAATATTGGCTGACAACGCATAGTTGAAGATGTTCTTAATAATGCTATTATTTTTTAAAGTATGGAAGCTGCTGCTTTAAAAATCTATTCTGATGAAGTTGAAGTTATTGATGAAGTAGAAGTTCCTAATGATGATACTGAAGTTTATGTTCCTGCTGATAGCAACGAGAATAATGTTTTCAGTAACTCCAGTTCAAACTAATACTCCAATTGTTGTTGATGCGAGCTCTTCCAAGAATGGTATTCTGTTTGATCCACAAGAATGTTAAGGTATTAAAGTCTTACCCTTCTAAGAAGTTCAATAATTTTTTTTTCAGAAAATGTTGATGGTAGCAGGGATTGTAAAATAACTGTTGGATCTAGTGTGGTGAAAAAACATTCGATTAAATCTTCTCAGCATTAGTTCAAACTTAGTAAAGAATTAAGAATGTTAGGTCCTATTAAGGAGAGCTTAAGAAGCAGAAGTAGAGAAGTAGAGAAGTCAGGAGAGGGCTGGGGCCTTATACCCATTTGTTTCTTAATGTCTTGTTATTTTGGAATTGTTGGGGAGCTAAGAAGAAGGGAAAGATTCCCATTATCTGAGAATTTTGGTGTTTGAAAACAGTATTTTTTTTCATTGGTTTTTTGGAAACTAAATTAGTTTCCATTGATAATAAAGAAGTTAGAAGAAATATTGGTGAAGATTGGAATTTCTTTCATTTTCTGCTAAAGGAACTTCTGGTGGTAGTTTAACTTTATAGAAAAATAGCATCTCATCTTTTACTGTTTTAAATTCATCTAATTAATGCATCATTTGTTGGACCATTTCTATTGTCTATGCTAATAAGGATCTTCATGAAAGAAGGCATTTATGGAAGCTATTAGAAGAATATACTTTAATGATAATCCTTGTATTATTGGGGGAGATTTAAACTGCATTTTGTCTAAAAATGAAAAGAAAGGTGGAAAGAGATTTTTATTTGCTCAAGGTTCTAAAGAGATGGAGTTCATTACTTAAAATGACTATCATGATATTGGTTCTATTGATCCAAAATATATATGGTGTAACAATAAAAATGGTCTTGCTCATATTTGGGAAAGATTGAATAGAATTTGTTTAAATTCTAATGCTTTATTAAAAATTCCTGTTGCGGTGATTAGACATTTATCTAGAGTTGCTTCTAATTATTGTCCATTATGTCTTAACTTAGACAACACTATTTGTCATAATAAAAAATCAATCTGATTTGAGAATGTTTGGTGTTCTTAGGAAGCTTCAAGGGGTATTATTAATAAATCTTGGAATAAGCAAGAAGTTGGAACAACGGCTGAAATTCTTCAAAATAAAACCAAGAGATCCCTTAGATGCTTATTTTTTTGGAGTAAAAGCAAGCTGAAGGATCTGCATAATTTGAAGGCTGTTTTAGAAAAAGATATATTGTCATTACAAGAAGAGTAAAGTAGAATGGGCGGTTTGGATTCAATCAAGTTACTTGAACTCAAGAAAAAAAATACATGAATTGAACGTTACACTTGCAAGACTTGCTACTTGGTTGAAGCAATGTTCTAAAGCATAATGGTGGGAAGGCGGTGATCAAAATTCCCCCTTTTTTTTTCACGCTTATGCTACTGCAAGAAGAAATGGTAATATGATTCATCAAATTATTGATTCTAATGGGGTTTTACAATCAAATCCAGAATTTATTCAATTATCTTTTGAAGAATTCTTTCCAAACAAACGGAGGAAGAAACATTCAATTTTAAATAATTGGGTAACTTTTGAAGCTGAAGATCAGTTGATCGAAAACATGAAACTTTCTTTGAATGTTGAATTTTCCAAAGAAGAGCTCTTTTCTACTCTTATGAAGATGGAAAATAATAAATCACTTCGATCAGATGGAGTCAATGCTTGTTTTTCTAGATCCTTTTGGAGCATTGTAAATAAAGAAATCTGGAATGCTATTGCTAATTTTTTTGAGCTAGGTGTAATGCCTGAATTTTGGAAAGAAATTATGGTAGTTCTTATTCCTAATGTTTCTAATGCCTTAGAAATATCAAAATTTCGTCCAATCAGTATATCAAACTATTTATAAAATAGCTGCCGGTATGATCTTGAATAGAGTGAAGATTTGTCTATTTGTTGTTATTTTTGAAGTTTAAGGTGCTTTTGTTCCTGGAAGAACAATTTTTTATAATTATCTATTAGCTCAAGTGATTGTAAATAAATTCAGATTTCTCAATTGCTAAACCTGGTTTTATGTTGATTAAATTAGACATAAAACAAGCATATGAGAGCATGTGTTATATATTATGGGCTTTCCAAAAAAAAAAAAAAATTCCAACTTAATCATGCAGTGTATCAGGCATTCAAAATTTTCTCTTATCATTAATGGTAAAAATAGTGATTGGATTAATGTTGAATTTGGTTTTAGACAAAGTTGCCCATTATCTCCTTGTTTATTTATATTGTGTTGAATTATTATCAAAAGATTTTCATGAAAGATGAAATCAACTTGAAATCAGAATTGCATCCAATTCAAATAAATTCTCACTCCTGATATGTGATGATGACGTTTTGATTGTTTTCGAGGCATCAAAACTTAATAATAAATTAATTTTGGGAATTTTATATGATTATTGTTGCTGGACTGGACGACATATAAATAGAATCAAATCAATGATTCTTTTTGGAAAATCTGTTTCAAACAAAAGGAACAAGAAGATTAAGTAAAGTTCTTGGTTTTCAAACTGTTAACGAAATTACTTATTTGGGAGTGAAAATGGCTCTAAAAAGACCAAAGGCACTTGATTTTCAATTTGTTATGGATAAAGCAATGGAAAGGATTAACAAATGGGGTTCTCGTTCTCTTTCATTAGCTGGAAGAATTTTATTTATCAAATCTGCTTTTTCTTCTATTCCATCATATATTATGACACATTCACTAATTCTTAGGTGTTCTAGATGATATTGACAGATTTTGTTGGAATGTTTTATGGAGTGAATTCTTAGGTGTTCTAGATGATATTGACAGATTTTGTTGGAATGTTTTATGGCTCAAGGAGTGAGGAAGACATGGTATGCATTATATTTCATGGAATTTGTTTTGTACTCCATCTAATAAGGGTGGTTTAAAATTCAAAGTTCATCTTCAAGATTGGGTCCACTTAGAGCTCGCATTGCTTGGAAATTCATTCATAATCAAGAATTTCTATCAAATAGAATTATGGCATCTAAATATGGATATGATATATAGAATGGTGATGTAAAAAGAAATTCATCCCCATCGTGGCGTATTATCAAAGATGGAGCTCATTTTTTGAAGCCTATAATTAGATGGCAGATTTGTAATGGTTTGAAAGTTAGCATTACAAATGATACATGAATTTTAGACAGAAGTCTTAATAAATGGCCTTCAATGTGCAACGTATCAAAGCTTCATGATAAAATTGTATCAATACTAATAGATTGAAAAAGAAGATGGAATCATTCGACTATAATCAGGTATTTCTCTGAAGATATGATAAAGATTATTATGAAAATTTCTATTATTTCCTATTCAAAAGAAGACATATCTGAATTAATTACATCAATGCCTAGAAAATCTATGACTTCTTTGGCTTGTGAAGTATCATTACAAACCAATCTAGAAATTGTTATAATTCAAAATTGTTGAGAAGATATGTTTTATCATAAATGGAAAGCTAGGAATTTCTTTATTCATGGAAAATGTGTTCTTTCTGCTTCTTCGGTTGCAGCTCATATCCTGTCACAATTTACTTAATCACATTTATTTCTAATTAGTTAGAACTAGGATATTAATCAGCAAGGCATGTTTTTAAAAGCTTGGTATCCCCCTCCTACAAATTGGATTAAACTTAATGTTGATGCTTTGCTTGT